AACACCTTCAAAGCAAGTATGTACCTCCTCTATCTCCTCATTCACTCCCCACAGTGATCTTGTCTGGACCACACATCTGGTCCTGCCGTCCTTGGACTTTTGAGGGGGCATATGAAGCAGGCTCCATGAAGTACAGGACAAATCTAGGCCCCTGACCAAAGCTCTCAAAACTTGCCTGAAATTACTCACTCCCTGCCACACCCCCTCTTCACCACATGAGGCAGATGTTGCTCATCTCTCTCCAACACGTGTCCTGCTTTTGCTTGCTAGTTAAATTGTCTGGAGAGCAGTTCTGCTCCCACATCCTATCCCCTGCACTCTGCCTTCATAGCTCCAGTCTCTCTCCCCAGCCCCACAGCACTTCTTCTCTACACTCTCCCAGCCCACCATGATGGCTTGCACAGGAACTGCCCCAACCAGGGTAAGGCAAAGGCCTTATTTTCCTCCTTCATATCACCAGAGCCTAAGCAAACTGCCCACCCAACACAAATCTCAAAAGGCATTTAGTAAAGGGACTAGTTGTTCAACCCTGATTATGCTGTGTACTTCCAAAAAAGGGTGTGAAGTAGCTCAGAAAATTCAATGTTTTAAAGATGTAGTCTAAAAAGAAGTCAAGGTGTGGAAAGGTAAGTATGAGCAAGGCAGTTGAATGAAAACAATGCAAGGCTGACAAGCTGGGCTTCCTGGCAGCAGAATCACAAAGGGTATCAAGAGTAACATCTCTTATTCAAGAGTAGCAGGTACAGTTCATAAGACCCAAATGTTTCTCTAGCACCAAACTCACAGAGGAACATCTTACCTGGATCTTTATGTAAACACTAGGGACTATACAGTGTAGGAGAAATCAGATTTTAGTGGACAGTTGTAGTAAAGAAAAAGAAACACTAAAACAGCACTCTCCATGCCTTTAATTAATCTGTAATAAAATGTGAAATTCTACATGGTATTTTTAAGAGATGTGCAGTAATATGAACTAGGCATATGGCTTTTCTATGTCTGACTTGATATAAAGTGAGAGCTTCCAAAACCCAATGGACTGAAGGATTCGTGTTTTCCTTGAACTGGCTCCCTATCCTATCATCACCCAAGTAGATTCTGACAGGAAATGGACAGGTAAATTGCTGGCTGGTACACCATTTAGAAATCTAGGGAAAAGACACATTGCGGCTGCTGGATATTTTCTCCTAGATTAACTAGCTGGACCCACATCTTGTCCAGCTGCTCAGGGACCAGCTTTCCAATTGTAGGAAGATGTATACATTGTAGTCAGAAGCTCCTATTTGTTGTGTCATTCCCCCCTCCCCCTCCCGTGCTTCCCCATCACCCAAAGTTCCAGAATCCTGTAACTGGTTCACCCGGGAGGGGACTGATTTGGTACATTATAGAGGAGTTTGTATGCAGTAAATCATATGGCTTCAAAGGGCAGAATTCTATAGTGTGCCAAGACAGAGAGGGAGCAATGGTCCTAGCAGATACACACATTCATAGACTAAAGAAGCTGGTTAACATTTTCCGCAGAGAATCTGTCGAAAAGGAGGCTCTCTTTTGGTCTAATCTATAGAGGGTTGCTCTGTCAGCGATAGGCCAAAGATTTACCAGCTCCTGGAAGAGAAGGAATGGTGCCCTGTGGAGGGAAGGAGCCTCTTCTTACCCAGGGAGCTACCATGACTTCACCCATGCTAGGTGAGAGAGCCTGGAACAAAGCCCATATGATGCCTTTTTTTGACTGGAATTTAGGTTTAACAGCATAACCCCCTTTTCTACAACTCCCATATGTCCCTAACAAACTGTAAGCCTGGAAGAATCCATTGTCTGTGTTGGTTATATCCAGAGATTCACCAAAGAATGAAACAAAGGTAGGACGCTGGGTGGGAGGGATGACTGATATGTGGGTCCTGGTTCTGGCTCCTAAGCACAGTCCTGTCTTTATCACAAGTACACATAGGTCCTGGAACAAAGTGGTTGATTAGCTACTAAGCACTGAATTCCAACTTTTCATGAGGCATTGGCCAGGCACTAGGGGCAATGGACAAGTGACAAGGTCCCAGTGTCATGGAGCTCAGGCCAGCAAATGCAAAGATGGGATGTGTAACAAGCACTAGTATGTGGTGGCCCAGCCCAGGGGCTCATAGACAGCTTCCTGCTGCCATGCCAGATGGTGGGAGCCAAGCAGTTGGTCTGAGCCACCAGTGGGACTGGTGCTTGTAGCAAAACATGCAGGTGGTAACTGGCAAGGGACTAGCTCAAGGTGGCAGTAAAGGCCTCATCTCCTGTAGCCTTCCAGAAGTTACTATGCACGAGGTTAGCTGATCTTGGCAATTCAAAATCAAAGTCAACAACTGGAAATGCTTTTTTGAAAAGTAGGGCAATCTGGCCTTTTCTTCTTTCTCTGTTTTAGTCTTCCTGTTCTTTGCCTAAAATGGCAACTGAAGAAATTCAGAAACTCCTTCTTTCTTCTTGGATGTCTCTATGCCTTGTTTCCACACAACCCTTGGAGGTGGATGACTAGGTCCTGCCTCAACCTGCTGTGGACTCCTCAAGGCCCTGTGATCCCAGGAAGGCAGCAGGTGCTGGATGCAGGATTCATACAGCCCTACCCAGCTGGAGATTCTGAACATTCCATCATTTGGAGAACAGACACAGGTAACATGAGTAAAGAGTGTGATTCTTATTTTTGTCTAACCTTCTCATTTTAAATACCTTTAAATGGCCTGCTTTGTCAGTTTATAAATGAAAACATTTAAATAAACAGGTAGTAAAAAGCAAATCAAAATATTTGGAGATCTAGTATAAGCACTTGAAACTGACATCAACTTCCCAGATCAAATGTGATTAACAAGTTGTTCAAAGTTGTTCTGAAAAGTTGGGTTATTAACTCATAGGGTCTCTTGCAGGTGTTGTTGCATATAGCAGACAGCAGCCACCCAGGCTCTGAAAGAGCCTCTACATATTATGCCAGGAGACAGACAAACAGAGGTGGGATACAGGTCAGGGAGACAGAGGAGATCCTATCTAAGGGAACTAATGGACAGGAGCCAGGTATGGTGCCCACACCTGGAAGCCCAACTGCTTGGCAGACTGAGGTGGGAGGACTGCAAGTTTGATGCCAGCCTGAGCAGCTTACCAAGAACCCCATCTCAAAATTGGGAAAGGGGAGGGAAGGGGAAGGAAGGAAGGAAGAAAGAAGGGACAGAGGTAAGTAGATAAATAAACAAATTTGTGAAATAACCAACAAGGTGCCTAGCCTGTCCAAGCTCCCACACTTCCACTAGCAAGTATCACCCATAGTTCCCCTCTGAAAACAGGACCAATTTATATCCTAGGAACCAGGAAGCCAAGGAGAAAATGAACCAAGAAATATTTTGCCTAAGGAACAACTTCTAAAACGACAACTCATAGACATGTTGTGCCACTGAATTTACCTAGGACCATTGTGATTTAAGTGGAATGAGTCCTAACTGCTAGATTCCCCTTCTCTTCTCTCTAGAGCAATTAGGCAAGGCTCTCACCAGCCCCCACAACTGTTTCCAGCAGCCTGTCTAGAGGAGGTGGCAACAGGCTGCAGGCCACAGGAAGAGACCAACTGCTTAAGGGCCCAAGGACTCATAACCATCAAGGAAGAAAGAACTTTGTAGGAGAAGTATTTGTCTATTGGCCCCATAAGAATCTTGCTGTAGCATGGTCCCCACAACTTGGGAAGACCTGTTTGCTCACAGCAAAGTGAGCTTCTCTAGAGGGCCCTCACACTAGCTATTCTCAGAAACATACAGAGCAGAGCCAACTGCATATAGCAGTGCAAAAATGAGTGCCAACTAAGTCAACTGCACACAATAGCACAAGTGAGTGCCAACTGCATACAGCAGGTAAGAACTAACAACATATAAAAGTATATGAATGAGAGACAACTGTATACAACAGCACATGAACAACAGCCACATGTACAAAATGGCATGTGAATGAAAGCCAACTGGGTACACAGCACAAGAGACCAACTGTATACAACAGTACCCAAGCCAACTACATACAGCTCTAGGTAAATGAACTCATATACACAAAAGCACGTAAGTGAAGTAACTGTATACAGGGATGTACGAGTGAGAACTAACTGTAGCAAACAAAGTCGACACATTTTCTTATTAAATTCTGTAAGTACACCAAGAAACACAGTCACTGAATTAACCTATCTTCATAAGGACACAATTAAAGTTTCTGGTTAAATAATCCATATAATGTTGTATTTCAGAGATTTTCAACAGAGTCTGAGAACACAAACACTTTATTCTTGAGCTATCCACTTTTGGTTTTATGGTTTCTGATCCTTTAATGAGGAAGCCAGAAAGATCAATATACTAGAAAACTGTTTTCTTCATATTCAAATTAACTAAAGGCTACAGTATAGACTTTCTTAGTCAATACTTGCTAAAAATCAAGGGAGAATCTTTATTTGAAGATTGCAAATTCCTCTTAAGAAGTTTTCTTAAGAAGCTGTAAAGGGAAAAACACCATTTCCCTTTGAAGGTAAAAATGTAACCTGCAACATGAGCACTTCCCTCCACAGTGGACTGTGCTAAATGTTGGACACTCATTTTCTTTCCTTCACAAGATATTAACAACAAACACAACTAGAACAGACCATCTTCTCCAAAAGAGATGCAAAACAAGTAAATTCCTTGATTTTAAGTCTCAGAAATTTGAAAAACTTGGAAATCAAGAAAAAAGTTCTACTAAAGCAAGACAAATACCGTTAACATTTTGATTACTTAATTCCAGACTTCTAATGCATTAACAAATTTGGCCATAATCATATTCCAACTTTAAGTTCCCCATCCCAAGCAGTGTTCCATTCTTGCAAGTTTTATGATAGCTTTATGGCTGTAAAACACATTACAGTACCATGTGGCTGGCTGCACAATGATATACTCACCTTCACCTCTCAATACAAATGTAGACAGTTAATTTGCAATACTGGAAAATAATGGTGGATCTGCAGATATGCTCACCTTCCCTCCCACCAGACTTTGCACCTTCTGTGTCATCACCACTGGTGGCATTCTCAGAACTCATGCAGCTGCTGGCTTCTGGCAAACAGGGAACATACCCCTCAGGAGGCAAACTCACAGTATAGAGCCGCCGCTCAGGCTGGATCCTAATGTCACCATCTGTGAGGGAAAAGAAAAGCAACATGCTCCAGTAAAGATTAGATAATGTAACCAGGTGTTTGTTTGTCCTGATTACATCAGCAGCGTTTCTCCAATGACATTTAGTGAAGCACAGTAAAACCTAACCACTGTCATAAATACTGACTTCAATAAGCCAGAACAAGTCAGCTGTACTTCCAGCCACCTATGATTATTTAAAGTCACACTGAGCTACTTATAATGTAAACTTCTGGGTATTCATAATATGGTATAAAATTTAACTAGCTCATGAATATGAAACAAAAAATATAAGTAGTCCACACAACACACCCTTCATTATCACACAATGAGTCCTTCAACATTTCAATGCATACTCCCCCTGAAACTTTTTCTCCATATGCACTAGCATGTATGCAGTGTGTGTATACACCTACACACATGTGCATGCACACACTCAGCCACCAACACACACCAAGAGACACACAGAAACATGCACATATATATACATGGGCACAGACACTCCCCACATAGACACACATATGCACACAGACATGCGTATTTTCATGGGATCATGCCATATGTATGACATTATAGTTTATATACATTATATATTTTATACACATATCACTTAAAATTGAGTGATAAACACTACAGTAGACAGTACTTAAATCTGCATACTTTTTAATTGCTACATAATGTTCCATGTTATGGGAAAACTATCATTGAATTATCATTTAACTACTTTCCTAAATTTTGCATGTGGAGGATAGCTTTGAATGGTCACTGTTACAAACAGTTGCTCTGACCATCCTGGCTGCTTTGCATATTTTGACCACTTAGTTCCTTCAGATAAATTCTTGGAAGTCTAATTGTTAGTTTGAAGGGTATGAGCTTTTGCTGGCTTTTTATAAAGGCTTTCTCCCATACTCTCCAACATCAGATAGTATCAATCTTTTTAATCTTCATATGTTCATTTAAAATATGGCAAAATGACTCTTGTACATGACAGACATTGACATTCTAATTAGTCTTCCACAGAATAGTGAGCATTTTATTTTAAGCCAACAATAACAAAGATTGAAGAAAATCACTGACACAAACAATAAGATATGTGGTTTTAAAATATATTTAAGTATAGAAACTTTGAAGCACTTTCAAATCCCCCTGCAGGGAATGTTTCACTCTCTTAAAGCTAAATTACCAGAATTCTAGTTCTTATGCTAATCTGCTTCACCACAGTGGATTAATTACTATGTCCTTCTTGCAGGAACCAAGGGCAGATAGAGACAAGCATCCCTATCGGTAACATCAACATTTGATCATTTCTCACTGAATATTTTTGGAAGCTTTTAATCAGCTAAATCTTTCTTAATAAGAAAGTTAAATAGAACTTAGAAATGTCACTGTTCACTTGATTATTGAGATGAATATAGGAGGCATTATGGGAGTGAAGAACGAGATGACTCATGCAACGGAAAATACTGCTGCATCTGTGAAGAAGAATTCAAATGCAACTTTCCAGGGAAGGCAGTCCTCACTGGTGGGAAGCTACACACTGACTTTACAGCTGGGCGTTCAAGCTGCAAATGACAACACTGCAGTCAGAGATAGAATCCAGGAACGGACAGAGTGGTCATCTGCAAGTAAAGGTGACCAGGTAGAATATAACTTCTGGTCATAATGTTCTATATGCTCCTGAGTAAAACACAATTTGTTAGCAGGACATTTATCCTTCCAAAAGTTAGACACTACACTCCTTGCTCAGGTGCAAGTGAGGAAGAGATGGGTTACAGTTCACAGATTGACCAGTGGCCACTTGATTCTCTAATTCACCGTTTCACCAGTTGCGTGGAGCATGCAGGTTGTAAGCATAACTCCCTGGGACCAATGGTATCCCAGAGGGAGGAGTGGAGGACCAGAAAGGCAGTTGGGAGTCCACTCTCTGCTGATGAAAGTCACCAGTACCCACATTCGTCCCTAGAAAAATAGACAGGAGAGCAGGCAAGGTTGGAGGTTCAAAAACATAGGGAGGGATTTGCTTTGAGCAGCCCTATTTGTTTTGTGGGATACTGCCACCCAGATGGGCTAAGCCCTTCAGACTCAACTGGACCTACAACCTGCTGACCCTACCCCACCCCCTGTCCCCACCCAACTCCATGGTCCTGGAACCCCTCCACTGTCTACATCCACAGAACATGGCTTCTTCCTCCCACTCTTCTGGTACATGGCAAATCCCAGAGCTAACGACTGTGGAGCCTTTGTCTGTCCTGGGCTACTCCCAGGTAGCTGGTAGCTAAAGAGAAGCCCTCAACTGCCACCTGTGTGGTAACCAAGTAAAGGATCAGGATCTCCCCATCCTTGGTTCTGTCTGAAGATATCCTTGCTTTCCTCTTGCCCCTCTGTTCACACTGCATTTCTTTCATTCAATCCATTACACCATGCTCTTCCTCACAATAATGTATCTGCATGGTGGCTCCCTCCATCAAGAATAGTCCTCACTATGTCACCCTCATCCCATGGGGTCTACTCTTTGACTTTCTCCTCAGTAGGCACTATATTCAAAAACACTGCTTCCTGCATTATGCCATCTCTTCAGTTTCCTTTCAGCAGATACGCTGAAGATGCCTACAGCCTAACACCACTAGGCATGATTTTATCACACCTTTTCTTATTTTGCAGGTATTTGTTCACAGGTTTTACCATGTCCCCAGGTAGGGTGTGAGCTTAAGCTCAGTAGGATATATCTATTTTGCTATTTTGCAATCAGCAATCATCCAGTAAGTCTACTGGATAAATTGTTGCATGAGTGTTAATTCCCAGTGTTGCTTCTGTAACACCATGATGAGTCTGATACCCTCTGATTTCTGGGACTTCACAGTTCTAATCAACTGCTCAGAATTCATAAATCCAGAACCTGAAGCATTGTTTTGGGAAGGTTTCCCTGGTTCTGAGATAATAGTATGCTCTAGCATCATAGCTGTGTTAGGACAGGGTTCATCCCAACAAGCCTTGTAGCTTGAATCTTGGTTTCCCCATCTGTTAAGTAATTTTCTTTCCCTTGAAAGGCAAGCGGAGAACTGGATTACAGCTTACGCACAGCACAAGTCTCAGCACCAAGGACAGTGTTGTTTGCAGGAGTCAGCACTAAGGACTACACCCCTGACTAGAGTCATGACCATGCTCCCACCCAGAGCTGAACGCCAAAGACCAAGCCCCCTGATGGAGTTAGCACCAAGGACAGCACTCAACCACTGCACTCAGCACCAAGGACAGTGTTCCAGCAAGTCAGTAAGGACTAATTAAGCAAGAGCACAGCTGCAGCTGCTGGAGCCAGCTCAGAAGGTGTCCCAATGCTGTGTTTCCCTGGGCTTTCCTCAGGTCCTGGCTCAGCTCATGTGCAGTCTATCGAACACACTCATGAACTAACACATTCTCCGTACACAGAGAACTAGGAACAGCATAAGGACCAGGACAGTCAGGACCCCACCCTATAGACTTGATCTGAAGGGACAGAGGGAGGACAGATAAATAAGCACATACAGTGAGTGACCTACTAAGCAAGGAGATGACGTGACCAATCTAGCCATTGAGGGGAGCACACCATCCCATAGGACAGATCCACTGTGACATGTCAGAGCTTCCTAAAGTGACTGAGCAATGCAGAGCTGAAGTAGGGGCTCCTCTTAAGACATAGGAGACCATGGCAGAAACAGCACAGGGTTTTCTTTGAGATAGGTTCTGATCTGAAGTATGCTGATGGGGGCATAGCTGTCAGAAAGATGACTGAGGGTTTGGGCTTGAGCAAAGAGAAGAGATGCCAGCTCTCTGAGAAGGGGGTGGCAGGGGTAGTGGGAAGTCAGGCTCTGGATCCTGCTCTATGAGCAAAATCAGAGCTTGTGGACAACTGAGAGAGCTCAATTTGGGAGCCATAAGTATGGAAAGACATCAAAAGCACAAAGAGTAGGCACAACTCCTCAGTATGTGAGTTTGATCAAAAAATCTCAAATGAGTCTTGGAACACTCCAACATTTGAGGGTTGAGGACATGATCAACTTCACATTTGGAGGGGAATGTTTGGGTCAAAGATAAAACTTTAAATATTTTAAAACAAACCATAAAACTATTCTCTAGCAAGGCTGTACCTGAAACTTATAAGGATTCATTTACCTGAGATCTCAATAAGGCAGCATATGTACTTTTGAAAAAATCCTTGCTATTTGATAGGGAAAAGTAGCAACTAAGGCTCACTAGCTGCATGATTTCATTACAGGGAGGTTCTTTCTGGTGTCATCTTGTGCAGGGAGCTTCAAGTTCTAACTACAATGGCTCTATATAGTCTTAATTTTCAGCTGAAACACTTGCCAAACTTCAATTCCACTCTACAATATAGCTACAATCATTTTAACATGAAATATTTTAGGTTAATTATTCTTAGGGGAAAATAGGAAATAGTACTTCCTGCCAGAAATCAGGATATTGGCAGATGCTACCGCAGAGAGTTTGGTCCAGCAGAGATTTTGGTCCAGCACACAAGCCTGGCCTCCATGCCCTGGCAACAACATTCTTTCTCTGGGTATCTGACATTTCAAGTACTTAGATCTATATATGCAGAGGCCACAAACCACAGCAGTTTCTCCAGCAGAGATAAGATTAAGGTGAAAAACCTCCCAGACCATGTGCTAAGAATGCTGTCTACGGGGCATGCAGGCTGTGTCCAGCTTTCCAGTAGATCTCCTCACAGCAGGTCAGGTCACTCCTGTCAGGGCACACTGCCTACCGGGAGCCTCTACACCTTCTCCTGGACTCATCAAAACAGGCTTTAGTAGAGGAGAGCTGTTTTCATTTTCCTTCTGATTTTCATCATCAGGGGCACTTGTATCCAACTTTTTAGCACATACACAAGTGTACAATGCAAACACAAGTACGTGTACACACATGCATGTCTGTAAGCACTCACACCCATGCATGTGTGCATGTGGGTAAACACAACCTACAAATTCACAGTCAATCCCGTCTGTCCA